TGCCACTCTCCAGTTGCCCTGCTCTGAAGGCAGTGTCAACACCAGCACCAGTACAGAAATAAGGATAGCCGTAATGCAACATCCCCATCAATAACTTTGTGAGCCCCTCCCCCAACTCCTTTTTGGACCCCTACAATTGTAACACTACCATTTCAGATTTAAATAGCTAAAATAATTACATGTAAGATTTTAAAATTCCTACAACTGTGAAATGTACTCAAATGGACCACAAATTTTGTAGGGCTCTACTTATACACACACTATACTATGCAGATATTCATGATGTATACATTTGTATTTAATAATGAGGATAAACTTACATAAATACTGCATCTTTTTCCACAACAACAGCAGATACGTTGAAAGGAAATCCATATAATTTCTGGACAATATATCTATACACCAAGTCAATATTTTTATTTTCCTTTACTGAAGTGTAAATAAGTGCTGCACCATCTGAACACATTTGTTAAAAGAAAATTAGGAGTTTTACTAGCTCAAGTTAACTGTTAAGTTTACAACTAATTTTTTCAGAACATTGTTCACTGTTTCCAAAAGCAAGCTGTATAAATGCTGGAACTATGCAAAGAAAATTGCTATTTGAAACTTAGTTTAATTGTATAAACTCATTTAGTAACTGAAAAGGCCATACACAACAAATACCTCTACTCAGTAATAGGGATGTTAAATTGCAGTTATCTGACTAATCGTGTAGGTCAGGGTTTCCTAATTTTATTTGGCCACAGAACCCCTAGGGTTGCCTTAAAAAAAAAAAAAAAAAAAAAAAAGATTAGGAAGCCATTGACAAGGCGGTATGCTGGGCTTCTCTTCCTGATGCATCCTATAAAAAAAATCCACAGCACTAGCCAATATAAAAGAAGGTTAAACCTGAGATGGCCCAATATAACAGAATCTTCGTTAAGGACCTTGGTTCAGTGAGGGGACTCATACTAGTTTCTAGAATAACTGATTCAAGCCACACACATTGGTCTCAATTTGCATCTTACAAGGATTACAGCTATGTCATTATTACATATTTCAAACTTTAAAGGATACATTGTAAACAAAACCGTCGGATATGTGACTGAATGAAGTCAAAGTGTTCATCTCTGTAGTCGTGTTCTTTTTCCAGGACACTAATGGCATCACACTGTCAAGTTTAAAAAAAAGCAAGCAATATTGCATATTCAGCATCAATAATGTTATTCTTCCAGTTAGCAAATTTCTTTTAAAAAAAAAGAAAAGACATTTAACCATCCAAATGGAACAAAATTAGATAGATTTTTTTGAACCTACAGCTGACAAATTATAACTAACACTTAAGGCAGGGGATTCCAACAGCCATTTTTCAGATGCAGTGGAAGAATCACACAGTGGAAGACTGTACCTATCCTGAAATCAAAACATGGTACCACAATAGCAACCCCTACTCCCACCCTGGCAGAGTGTATTTGAGCCATCAAAACACCTAGACAGACAAAATTCCTACTTAGCTTTTCCACTAGAAAAAACCACCACAAGAAGCAAAGAAACAAGATTTTGATTAAATATATGAAAGCACTGGCCAAGTGGTGAAGTGATAGTAACACTCTGATAAGCTTATTCCTTCATTCCCTGAGCTCTGACATGCTGAAAATACATCTTGCTTAGACCATGGCCATTGAAGGGCCAAAAGAAAATGGATCCCAAAAGAATCATATCCAAATCTACCTTGCTAAGAAGATGGGTTACCCAACTACCGATGAAAGTTAGGGAAAAAAAGAAGCCTACAAACTGAGAAACGTTAGTGCAGAAACAAACTGCTAGACAAAGACCTCAACTCCGTTTTTCACAATCGTCTCCATTTCAAGAGTACATGGAAAATGAAGCCACTTATTTTAGTGAGACAAGTCAATTTTAACAAAGTCAGAAGATGGGAAAGCCCTTCTCAACAGATGGAATTGTATTTTTGCAATTTGTTTTTAAAAAAGCCTAAATCAGGCTGTAGATGTGGTCATGGTGGCATTTTTTTGTAACTACATCAGATTTATCTGGGAAAATTTAGGCACATCACAGATCTCCTTCTGTGAGAGAAGTGAGCCAATCATTAATTAAATGAGAATTCAACTTCCTAGTCTGCACCCTACCTCTTCTACACAGAAATCAAGCTCTAGTAACATCAGTAGATGTTAATTAAGCAGTAGATGCAAATTCATTGAGTACATGCCTACACTGAGGGTGGCTGTGTCTACCAGAAAATCTGGAGCAGCTTTTCTAACATTATACAGTAAACTTCCGATAATCCAGCACCTTTAGGACCCAGGGGGTGCCGGATTATCAGATTTGCCAGACTATCAGAAGGGGGGGCTATAAGGAGTCTGGGGTGGGGGGATGCCACCCCAGACCACTCATAGCCCCCCCTTCTGATAGTCCGGCTCTGCCCCAGGCGTCCCTGATTCAGCCGCTGCTGGTCAGCTTCA